AACCAAAACATTCCTGGGATAAAGTATCAATGGAAAGATACCAGAATACATGAAATACAAAGTAGTTCCAAGAAAGAAAGTTATAGCTATATAAATGCCTACAATAGAAAAATGCAGCAACCTCAAATAAATAAGCAAGTATCTCGAGGTCCTAGAAAAATAAGAACAAAACTCATAAACGGCAAAAGGAAACAAATAATAAAGATCAGAGCAGAAATTCCTGAAATTGAGAATAAAAAAATATAAATGATCAATCAATCAAAAAGGTGATTTTTGAAAACATAAACAAAACTAGTAAACCCCTAGCCAAACTTACTTTAAAAAAAAAGAGAAGGCCAAATTAATAAAATCAGAGACAAAAAAGTCAAAGTATAACATACATTGCTGAATCCAAACTATCAGAAAGTATTGCAAAAGTTTAGATTCCAATAAATTAGAAAATTGAAAAAAAAAATTCCTAAATACATATGCTCTACCTAAATTAAGATACAAAAATCTATCAATTACAAGCAATAAGATTAATGCAATCATTAAAACTCTACAAACTAAGAAAAATACAGACCTGATGAATTTACTGCTGAATTTAAGCAAACCTATCTAGAACAATTAACATGTTTCTCAAACTTTTCCATGAGGAACAAAGGGGTAGGAACACTCCATTTGTCAATTCATTCTATGAAGTCAACATTACTTTATTACCAAAACCAAACAAGGACTTAACAATGGAAAACTATAGACCAATATCCTTCAGGAACACAGATGCAAAAATTCACAATAATATCTTTGCTAACAGAATTCAACAGTACATTGAAAGAATCATATTCCAGGACCAAGCTAATTTCATCCCAGAAATGCATGGATAGTTTAAAACACATAAATCAATAAATGTAATATACCAAGTAAACAAAATAAAGGATTAAAGTGGTATGATCATCTCATAGATGCAGAAAGATCTTTCAACAAAATCCAACATTTTTTCAATGTTGGATTTTGACAAATACAGGTATAGAAGGATTTTACCTCAAACTGCTACAAACCATATATATATGACAAACCAACTGCCAGCATCAAAATGATTTGGGGGAAATGGGAAGAATTCTCTCTACAACCAGGAATGAGACAAGGGCGCCCACTCTTATCATTCCTGTTCAACACAGTACTTGAAATTTAGCCAGGGCAATCAGGCAGCAGAAACAAATACAAGGAATATGAGTAAGAAAAGAAGTCAACCTATCCCTGTAACTTGATATTTTTACAGAAGAACTAAAAAACCTCATCAGAAAATTTTTACATCTCCTCGTTAGTATAGTAGTGAAAAAAAAAAACCAGAAAATTTTTACATTTGGTAAATAAATTCATCGAAGTGGCACAATAAAAAATCAAGTGTTCCTGTACACTAATAATAAATCCACAGAGAAATCAGAAAATCACTTCAATTAACCATAGCTTCAAAAAAAATTGAATACCTAAGAATCAATCTAAAGGTGATAGATTTTCTACAATGCAAATTATAGAATTTTTAAAAAGTAATTGAAGAAGACATTAGAAAAATCAAAAAACTCCCTTGTTAGGGGATCAGAAGAACCAGTATTGTGAAAATGGCCGTATTACCAAAAACAACTAACAAATTCAATGTCATCCTCATTAATTCCAACATCATAACTGAAATAACAAAAAAAATCCTAAAATTTTTTTGTACTTAAAAAACTTTACACTTACTTATGCGAAAAGTTTTTAGTATAAGTAATATTACATTAATTGACTTAAAATCATGAGCACACATTATATATTATTTGCAACTTACGCATTCCTTTTCTACGATAAAAAATTGCTATTATTATTTTCAAAATACAGAAAGAACGTAACAAAATGGCAGGAGTACTCAAACTATTATGCCTAGAAGTAAAGAATTTTAAAAGTATATATTCATAATATGATAAAAAATGGTTGTCTAATTTTTAATTATTATAGTAAAGGACACACTGCCATTAATCTCCCTCAACATACTTCCTGCACTTCTAACACACTTAACCCAGCATTCTTGACACTTCCTGAGGTAGTCCTGCAAGTTTCATGATTGTCTTTCGTACTGTTGTGGCTGCCTTGATGCCCTAAATCAGTTCAAAAACATTTGTATTTCCTCATCATTCTGACTTTGGGGAAAGACCAGAAGTTGCATGGTGTGAGATCTGGTGACTAAGGTAGAAGGTGACACACCGTGAAGTTTTCACAAGTTTGCCTTTGCACTGGATGCCAGTAGCATTCGCCACATTTTTTATCACACCCCATAAAGACACTCAAAAAACAGGATTTCCAGAACTGTTTCAGAAAGCAGCAAGAATGATAAACAGTATAAGTATGTTGAAAATGAGGGGAAATATTTTAAAAAGCATTAATGGCAAACTGATTTTTACTGTAATAATTATTTTTAAATTTAAACATTTGCCATAAATTTCATTCATATCTCGTATTTCATATGCATCAAGTAGAACTGATCTCAGAAATGCAAAGATCGACCAACGTAAGAGTCAATGTAACTGATTACAAACATGGCATAAAAAAAAAAAATGGCATATTCTCAACAGCTATAGAAAGGTTTAATGCAGTGACTCCCCTCTCCCAAAAACCAATTCTAAAAGAATAAAAATGAAATGTGCCACAAATATATTTGAAGGAGAATATTTAGAAATACTACCTTTGGTTTGGCTTGTGTCCAGATGTCCCCTCAAAGCCTCATGAAATCATGGGTTGGACTTTTACAGCGGTAGCTGAAGGTAGAATGTATGACTGACTCACGGTGCAGTGCTAGGACTGAAGTGCTAGCATTAGGGTGGATGATTACCACAATCAGTCCGCTGACTAGTCTGGCACGCCCTAGTCCTGGAAGACTAGGTACAGTCCAAGAGACCAAACAGGCTTGTCTTCCCCCTTGTTGTCACCTCGCCATCTTCTGCCTGCCATGAACTGTTTCTCTTGGACTCTCTGCCATGCCACCTTGCCTTGGAATCAGATGATTACAGACTGAAACCTCTAAGAACTGTGAGCTAAATAAAATAAGCTTTTCCCTTTTAAATCTGAGTAGTGAGTATTTTGTTTTAGCAAGGAAAACAGACACCTCTCCTTCAAAGGAAATCATAAGGAAAATTCAGGAATGTTACCTTCCCCTGCAAAACTGAAAATCAAGTATAAATGTCTTCCTCTACATTCAATTACAGTAATATTTAGTCAATACTGGAATTCCTGGCCAAATTATAAAACTAGAATTCAGATTATTGAGCATACTTGTTGAGTCAATAAAATAATACCACAGCAAAACACTAGAAGTATCAAATAAAGATACTTCATGACACACTGACTTCAAAAACAGAAAAAAGTCTAGAAATTAGCAAAACAGCAAAAAAGGCAGAGAAAGAGAAAGGTACGTGAAAAGAACCATAATTTATTCATGGTAAGATGCTGACTTTTCTTCAAATTAATCTAAATTTAAATCTATCCCTACAAGTTTTGGGGTCACAGGACAAACTGATTCTGAAACTTCAATATGAAAGCAAATGCTTATAAATATTTTCAAAACTCTTGGCTAACAGGGAGACTTGCTTTGCTCGGCATAAATTACAAAGTTCTCTCATAATTTAAAAAAGAAAAAAATTTAGTTACTAGAATACAAATAGACTAATAAATCTACTGGCATTACTAGACACTCCAGAAAGAGCCTCACTCACCTGTCAGGCTGTTTCTCTTACATATAACAAAACCTAATATTCATAAAGAATTTATGTAATCACAGTTATATTTAGACTTCTTTCAATCCAGGGAGATTGGGCTGCAAAATAAGGGAACTCAAAAATCCAATTATATCCTACTAACATAGCACTTTTTATAATTTCTATCTTGAATTTCTAGTTGTCTCCCATTGCATCATCCCTCAAACAAAGATTATTTACTCCTTCCTTTCCAGGATGCCTGGGAAGAAGACAGAGGCAAATCACATAGTACACTGTACGTAAATTTGCATTAAATAGTTTGGATATAAATATAAAACATATACAATAGTAATTAATGCAGAGTGTTCGAAACATGAACTTCCCTTTCTTCTAGTCACCCAATTTGATATCTTTCTATACGTAACTTCTCAACTTGCTCAAATGCTAATCTGTAAGAATACAGTCAGTCAAGGCAAATTACAGCAAATGGAAATAGCTGCACATGAAAGACAACTCTTTCCTATAAAGGGTTCTTATATTTGAAATGCATAGGAATCACAAACAGCTTGGCAAAACAAACTACTGGGTTCCATCCCCCGTTTCCAGCCAATATAGCTGAAGTGAGCTCCATCTCCAACAACTTTCTCTGTGCTACTAATTCTTCATGATGTGCTCCACTTCAAAAGGCATTATTTTATGGAACACTGGTTAGCAAGCGAGGACAAGGAACAGGTATTTAACTGGCATCTAGTAAGCAGAGGCCAAGACTGTTGAACATGCTCTAATGTATAATCTGACCATTAAGTTGACAAAAGTTCTTCAGTGCATTTCAAAAATTTGACATACAATATTTTAAAATTCTGTTTTTCTTCAAGGATTGACAGCTGTTTGAATTTTACTCAGACAGCAAAATGAAGTTTCCAAGATATTAATGTAAAGGTATACAGCACTGAGTCACAGAATAAGGGTATAAGGATGCATTCAACATCATCAGAAGATTTCCTATAAAGAAATGCAAGCTAGCATTTGTTTGGCAAGAATTATAAGAAAGGCAATTATAGTAAAAGACTAACTTCCTTGAAAAGTAATTTCCAATGTTTTTCTTAAGCTAACTGGAAAACAAACAGGTATTCATTTTAGCTTTATATATTGTGATATAAATTAAATCTTTCATAGTGAATAGTTTATCTTAAGGGAAACCAATAATCACAGCAGTAACCAATCCTAAATAAATTATACTGAGGAATGTACACTTTCTGTGTACATCTACATGTGTTGAGGGTAGGTTAAACTTACTCCGATTGGCTGAAAAATAAGTCCATCCATTTCATGGCTGACTTCTTTGGCAAAATTTCCTTCAAGTAACTGTAAAAGAATTACACATGTATTATTCAGCACTACCAAAGTTACTTTAAAATTATTTTAATTTCTTGACAAGTTATATGAAAACTTAATACAAAAATTTTAAGAACTAAAATAATAAAATAGGGGAGAGGTAATCCAAAGATATCTTGTTTAATATACTCTAAAAATTTTTTTTAAAAACATGAATAGTTCTATTACAAGGTAGACAAGATATCCTGAATAGTCCTAACTACAGCAACCAAAACAATGGATAAAGAGAATAAAAAATAAATAAAGTATTATGTATCTCAAAACAGATTTTGAATGCACTCACCATAAAACAAATTTTAAGAAGACAGATACACTAATTATCTTGAGTTGATCATCACCCAACACACATATAAATCAAAACATCATGTTGTGCCTCATAAATATGTACTATTATATGGTGATCAAAAAACTAAAGAAAAATGATCATAGATGAACTACTGAAAACATTTCTAAATATACTGCTAAGCCAATACAAAATAAAGGAAGATGTAGACTCCTCTTCAACTGAAAGTATAAATTATGAGAAGTAATAAGGGGAATAAAAAAATAAGAATATACAAAAAAAGACATTGCCTACAAGCTTGCTTGGAAACAAGAATTGGAATTACATATGGACATCAAGAGTATAAAATACATTGACTGTGTTTTCCAACAACCATTAAAAAATTTTTTAGTCTTTTTTATTTTTTCTCCATGTACTCTGCCATTTCCTCCTCCAAGATCTGTAATTTCTCTGAAAACTGAGACATACAGTACAAAATAAAACTTAGTTTTTCAATGTCTACTGAAAAGCAGAATTATAAACTCAATGCTACCTAGGTAGTTCTCAGCTGCATCTTTAAATCCTTCCCTTTCACAGATTTTTATTGTTTTACAGGACTTAACATACATGTCACTAATGGAAGCCTCAGCAATCATTTCTACAATTCAATGAAAAAGATAACAATGAACTTTCATGGAGTTAATTACTGTCATGTTATCTAGAATCTTGCCAACTAACAGGAAATTCAGATTCTTCTGGGTTCAAATAGATTTCCAAAATTTGGCTATGCTTTGTGTTATACTGGAAATTTCTTTCATCACAGTCACACTGTTGAAAGTACTACACTTACAAAACGATACGTTTTCCAAAAGCAACAACCTAAATTTTTAAGTGCTATCTTCCATGGAACAAAATCCATCATTCTTGTCTAACACTGAATCCATGTACTCTACCATTTCCTCCTCCAAGACCTGTAATTTCTCTGAAAACTGAGAAGAGTTCAGATTGGAGATTTTTGTTTTTGTTTTTTACCATAATACCTCCTGTTGTCTGCTGCCCGTAACTTTAGGACATAGTAAAAATCAAACAAAACAGAACAGAATAGAACTAATAAAAAGAAAAATAATGAATGCAATAAAGGACTTCAAAACAAAAATAACAGTAAATCCAAAATGGCTACCATAATATATCCTGTTATTTTTAAAACAGCTGCCCATGCCATTGGACACACTGTCTGGCAGCTACTGTTGATTCCCTATGATCTTGTTTGAAGCCCTGTGTCATTTTCATTGTTTTGTTTGGTTGTCTTTTTTGACTTTGTCATACTGGAGTTTGAACAAACATTTCCTTTAAAATGTAACAGTCCTTTGTAGAGATAGAAAGTAAACCAGTGAGAGCCAGCAGCTGGAGGACAGAGGAAGGAGATGGAGGAGTTAGTGTTTAAAGAGCTTCTGTTTCCGGGAAAAAAAAGTTCCAGAAATAGACGATGGTGATGGTTGTACAATAACATGAATGTACTTAACACCACTAAATTTTATACTTAAAAAGTTAAAATGGTAAAATGTATGTTTTGTATATATTAGAAGTGAGCAAAGAATGCACTTAGTATTTAAATTTTTAAAACTTTTATTATGGTAAAAAATACATTGTTAATGATCTCTTCAAAATATTCCTCCCTTGTTTTAAACACATTTCTCGAATTGTAGTGTCGGCTACCTCAATGTCTTAAATTCAAAACACTCACCCTTCATGGTCATTCTGACTCTGGGAAACAGCCAGAAGTTGACCCAGGACATAAGGAAAATAGGGACACATCAAAATGTTTTTACAAGTCTGTCTCTCTTTTCAATGACCTCAACAGGTGCATTCACTGAATTTTTGAGCACAGCTTATAAACATTCCTAAAGGAAGACTTTCAAAACTACTTCAAAAAGTGGCAAGGGGCTGGAGAGGTAGCTTAGTTATAGAGTGCTTGCCCCAGCATGCATAAGGCCCTGAGTTCAATCCTCAGTACCAAAAAAAAAAAAAAAAAAAAAAAAAAAAAAAAGTGGCAAGGATGAGATAAGTGAGCTCAAAATGGAAGGAAGTACTTTAAGGGGGATTAATGGTGATGCATCTTTTATTTCTTTAAAAAAAAAAAAGTAAGCATTCACCATATAGTCTGAACACCTGTTGTTGGTAAACAAACACACAGAACACACACAGAGTTGGCAAGCTAGATATCCTAGGTAACAGGATCTTCCCTGCTACAGAAATAAAATAACTCCATTTTTATTTTACTCTAATATTTCTTTTACTTTTTATTTTCTTTTTCTTAAGTCTATATAGTTATATTTATTTGCCATTTTGTTATTGACTTTTTTAATGATACGTTTGCAGTACACGTTTACATTTTCCGTAGAGTTAGTAGTGTACATCACACACCTTGCTTGATTCCTTTTTCTCTTTTGTGTCTCCTCTCCCTCAGCCTCCCTCCATCTCTTGATCCTCTTCCCACTTGAGGAAGATCTGACCCACTACATCCTATTATCTATCTTTCGTTTTATGAATGGAATAATTCAAAGGACTCTGATGAAACTTCTTAGGGCACACAAGAGCTCCTCTGCAGCAGTACTCCAGACGTAGGTAATTTTCCTTTCTCCTCTCCTTTCTTTCTCAATTGAACCCAGCGTCTTCACATTGAGCTGCATCCTCAGAACACCCACTTTTTTTGAGGTTCTCTAGACAGGCTGGGGTCTAACATGGGCTCTTCCTGCCTCATCCTCCCAAAAAGTGCTACAACTACAGAAGTATGCCAAAATGCCCAGCTCCTTGTGTGTGTGTATAACTGCCTATTATGTACTAAGGATCTAGTATGTGCTTGATACCTAACATTATTATTATTATTATTCAAAGCACATGACTTCACGATCTGTATATTCCTGAGTTTTGCACTATTATTCAATTTGTCAGAAAAGCAAACTGAGAAAATCAAGCCAATAAACCTCTACCTTCAAATCAAAAAGTTTAAAAAGTAAAATCATTTAGATTTCCATAAGACTTCAACCAATAAAATAAGCAAACAATCACACTTCTCTGATTCTCTGAAACAAATATGCCAATGATTTTGAAACTTCCTCAATATGATCCTTTAATAGGCACGAAACATTTATTGGATTTTAAATGTGCTGTAGCATGTACTATGAATAAAGCAAATACAAAAAGAATGTAAAATGTTTTGTAGGAAAAACAAAGCTAAAATTATATTAACATCATAAAATTCATTAACTTGCTTAAATCTCTGAAATCATATATGTAAAGTAATAGGTTATATTAGAAACATCACTGCCTATACACAATGCTTAAAAGAAAATTTGCCCAAACTTGTTTATGAATACCTGTTACACAGTGTCTTTATTACTACAACCAACATTTTAAGACATTTTACACATTCTCATTATTTTCTGAGTGTAGTACACTTCAAATTATATATGAAGCTGTCACATGCTATCCAAGGTAGGAAGAATCAACTTAAAAATGCCACAAGGGCACCCCTACCCCAAGTTCCACAGACCTATATTCATAATTTTAGAGATGTTTTGCTCCTTAACTTTATCAGTTTGGTTTAAAGCAAAGTTCCATTTTCACTTACAATATTTAAAATAGCAAAAGAATATCATTTCTACCCTGAATATAAAAAAATCGTAAAGTCACAACTTTTGCTAAAGCCATCAGAAAGCTTTTATCTGTATGCAGCAGGTAAACTAAATCCCAACGCTTCCAAATGAAGACTGATAGGCCTCCTTTGGGGAAGCAAAGAAAGCAGTGGCAGCCATAAAAGTGAGTACAAAGAAAACAACTGGAAGTTTGATCAATTCTTAAAACACAGTTAGCACAGGCAAGGAAATGACTGCAAATCCCTGCACGCTCCCAAACAGGTCCCACTCCCTGGCTACCTGTTTCCCCAGGCTTCTGCCAAGATTCACATCAGAATGTCAGAGCAGAGCAAGAAATACAAGAAAGCACCACCTTGGTTAAGTACAGATAAAAGAACTCTCCGGTTTCCCATCCTCTTCCTGACACAAGCAAAAACTAAGAATGAAGTCGTAAGGGGCTGAAGATAGTTTTGGGCCACGAATAGTGTCTTTGTTACTTTTCACTCATTGCTGGAACAAAACACCTGACACCAAAAGAAGGAAAGGTTTATTTATCTAGCTCACTGTTTGTGGAGATTTCAACCCATCATAATCAGCATGGCAAGGCACCAGGGAAACACAGGCAGCAGCCAGCAAAAGCAGCCAGAATAAAAGGGGCTGGGAACAAGCCTCTTCTCCTCCTTTGTATTTGTAAGCAGGTACCCCTGCCCGGGTAGGTGTAGCACTCACAATACCTCTGCCTCCTCCTCCTGCACAGGATGAAGGTATTTACAAAGTAAGGATGCTGGCTCTCTCTGAGTCCCTTAGTTAAACTTTTAAACTTCTCAAGTTGACACAATGTATCAACCATAATAAACAATAAATCAATAAAAAGCAGAAAAACTTGTTCCCTCAGAAACTTTGCACCTATTCAAGCCAAAGCTTTCCAAGGAAGAGAGGGGGGAGAAAGAGAGCTCGCTGAGCAATACCTCTGCTGGACTGCAGTACTGAGGTTCTGCTTGACACTGATGCTGGAGGAGGAGAAATAAGAGCGCCCCACGGCCCCGTATGTGTGCACCCTGGGATAAGAAATA